TTCCTATCCCTGGAATGATCTGAAGGATTCAAATCTGGGTTTACAAATTTTGTTACTCACAATTCAGTCTGTTAGTTATAAATTATTCGATGTATTTGTAGATCCTTGGGTAAATCCGTAATTTCCTCACCAGCAATTAGTCGCCCTAAAGACTATTATGGATACTTTCACGGAAAAACTTTCTTCTACTCGTTGATATTTTAATGAATTTTTGGCAGTTGAGTTTGAAGATTTTAAGAGTTTGGTTGAGACTGTCCACAACGCGTTACAATAAACGAATTCCTTATTTGCAAGAAAAGTCACCCCTCTCGGTTAAAGAAATTTTATTCCCGGATAGTGTCAATTGTTCGTAACTTACTATTAATTCAGTACTATCCCGTGTAGTCGAAGGAAGGATTGAAAAACCGGACCGATTAAATGAACTATTTCCACCAGAATTGGTACTGCTCCGTCGCTACTTCAAGACTGTTTAATTTTGGTTTTTCTGACATTTTTATATGAATTTTTGGGTCACTTGTCACATGGGCTCCAACGAGTCCATTTTTAATTGGTGGAAAATATCGTATGACTTTTCCCACTCTTTTGATTTTTATGGGGAAGTAGTTCATTCGGTTTTTGGGGTCTTAATTAATCGGTTTTCAATCGTTCCGTTGCGCTTGAATCTTAGCATTGAGTAATTGGGGCATTGCTGAGTGTGCCATTTCATCACTTTTGAACTCGATTCCAGTGCCTTTGGAATTTTTAATTCAGTTCAAGTGATGAAATGTACTCAATTTAGCTTACAATTGTGGGTTTGGTTCTTAATTACATGAAGTTATAATGTAACTTATAGTTATGATCCTATATAAAATCTATTCTAGTCTTAAATTTCTAGTATAAAATTTTTGGACATTCAGAGACGTTGTGGGGTTCATACCAGCCGCGTCTCCGTCGCAAATCCTGGATCATGCTAAGTGCTGCTAGGGAGGGATTTATGTGGAGTGCGAAACTGTTCTTTTTCATTGTTTTTCTCCAATATTCATGAAAATCATTTCCATATGTCATATAGATTTTGATAAAAATGATCTCCCATCATTTATGTCTGTCGAATTCATAAATATAAAACATGTTATGATGAAGCAGAGGATCTGAAATAATTTTCATAGTAGTTAGCAGCAATTCATGCTAATTTCATGTCATCATACGGATCCACTTACGCTTGAGAATTCAAGATGCATTTCGGCCTTCGTACTGTGCACATTGTGTTCCGCGAATATCCTAGTATTTCAACTCTATTTTAGTTCTGCGTATTATTGCTCCGCGCTACTCAATTCTGTGAACTGCGTTAATAAATATTGTGATCCGCGCTAATATTCCTGACCTTCTCCACCACATTGAATCTAGCACGTGTATTTCTTTTGACTTTTAATTAATTTGACTGAGTTACCAACGTGCACGTGTGGTGATTTGTGGACCTTCTCCCGCTCCCGTTAAAATCCGTTCGAATTTCGCCCATCGCTCGCAAATTTCGCGAAAATCAGATCGGGCATCGAACAATCGTTTAGTTAATAAATTTTGAGTTGATGATTCGAATTGATGATTTACTGTACCATTTTCATCATCTGTTTGTTTAATTTCTGTGTTAGTTTGAGGAAGAGTCTTTCTAGGTTTTAAAATGTCATCCATTTCAACTAGAGTATATAACTCAATACAAATTGGTTTATGATCCAAAAAAAAAGATTCATAAGTACCACATAAACAATGGGAGATGTTATCAACCAAAATGGCATCTATCTCCATGTAGAAATTAGTAGTAGGTATGTGTGATCCTAAACCATGCTGAAAATCAAGGGTGTGCAAATATTTTTCGAATGAATTATTAACTTCATATGTATGGAAATTGAAATCTCCAATTATAATTTTTTGCTTATCAATATCCATGAATTCTATTAATAATTTCAATTCTCTAAAAAATACTGCATCACTAAATGATGGAGATTTATACCAATATTTGTACACTATCAACTTGTAATAGAATCAAATCTAAATGACTATCTTCCAAATTTATGTTTTTATGATTGATAATGGAGTATTTGATATGTCGTTTCTCATTCTGCAAGAAAAAGATACCTTTTGAGCAACATTTCTTACGTGGATCCGTCCTGAATATCAATTGAAAATTGTTGAAGTTAACATGATCATTCAATTCTGTGAAAGTTTCTGAAAAAATCAAAATATCAGGATCCATATACCATGAATCGCAAACTAAATATCGGAAATTTTTATGAAATGATCGAATATGGTAGATATTCCTCGAATAGATCGAATTATGGTAGATAATCCTTAAATGTCCTTTTTTTGTAAAAGTAGTATACGATAGCTTCAATTTTCGATACTGAAATGCATCATATTCCTTTTGTAGAGGATCATCTGACAATAATTCGTTCGGCGGCTCAAATTGTCCTAATATGTAGAGATCCTTCAATTTACACACCCTGCTTATAGCCACATATAGGAATGGTCGGCTTAAAGGTCGGTAATTATATCTAGCACGTAAGTCGACACATACTTTGTTATAAGTTTGTCCCTGATTTTTGGGGATTGTCATTGCTTCGGCAGGGACAATGGGAAATTGAGTACGCGTGACTTGATAATTTATTCTGTCATATGCAGATATCGACATCGTCGTTCTTTTTACTGGAAGCAAATTGGATGGTATATTGTGTTCCTTCATATAATTGATATATGGCCGTCTTTGTTTAATTCCCACTTTCGAATTATTAAATTTTAACCATATAACTGATGGTTTCATCGGCTCTTTCTCGAACTCTATATGTTTTAGTATGCCACAAGCACCATTTACAAGTCCATCAATGACATCAATATAGGGGGAAATCATATAAACAATGTTGTTCTACCCAGCGTGGGGAGTACTTATAATTATAGCAGGTTCTAGGCTTAAAGGGATAAATCCCACCAATGGTTTATCGGTATTTAAATATGAGAATTTATTACATGATTATAATTACTGTGTCATCTGACTGATTACAAAGAGTTTACGACTTTTGTACGCGTCGGAGTCCAATTCAGGTCTGTTCTGGGCGGACCCAATCGTCTCTTAAATAATACATTGATCGTTTACATTTCATCACTTGGTCAGCATAATCCAGTTACGCTGGTGTCACGCTGACAATGCTGTATGTCCACATATTAAACAATAACGCAATTGACCAAATCTGGGGCATAACATTCCTCCCCTTTTAAAAATAGAAAATCTGTTATCAACGATAACAAAATTTTAACCATTACAATTGAATTTCTCTCTCTAAATCAATTCACTAATAAGAATAAATTTTCAACAAAACTGGAATGCTCCTACTGGCAGTTTTAAGCTCTCATTACTTCCTTCAAAATTACGTGGTTTCGCAGTGCCTGATTCTTTCTTTCCCACAAGAATCGCCTGATCGTCTGACAGTCCCAGTTTGTTTCTCAGCTTATGACAATCCACTGCCTCGTGACCCGAATATTTGCAGTATTTGCAAACAGCTCCAAACTGCATTACGGATTTTCTCTTCCCCTCTCCTCGAGGAAGCCTTGTGGAACCCTCGCGAGTGGAACAGTCTCTTGAAAAATGACCAGCCAAGTTGCACCTGTAACAAGTTTTCTCTACCCTGTTTTAGCTAAATCAATAGCTCCAATGACTGATTCATGCAGTGTTTTGAAAGCCCTGGCCCTTACAAGCACCTGTAGCTGTCCACGCAATCCAGTCTCGAAACTTGCTTTTGCCAGCTGTCTAATGGCATCCTCCACCGTTTGTTTCTCAGCTAGTGTCTCCTTGGTTTTCGATAACTCGTCCACCAATTACGCTGTAATACTCTCAGTCCTTGAACCATAGCAGCTTACAGATTCTCCTTCTCGTTGTCTCAAAGTAGATCACTCCATTTGTAACGAATCTATGGATTTTTTCGCACCATACAGAGCCTCCAACTCTGTCTCCAATTGCTCCATTGTTTGGATTTCCTTGTATTTCATGTCCCGCATAGCACGATCCGTCAATTTATTGGTTAAAATCAGTTCCAATACATATGGATGATCTCGTTCTCGTACACGGGAAAATACCAATTTACAATTTCGCAAAAACCCCTCCAGTTTTGTTTGGTCGTTACCGTCAAACTCCTTGATAATTTTTAAAGTAACGTCGATGTTGCAATCATCTTCACCAAAATTAGTACGTCGCCGATTCCGCAACCAGGCCCGGTCTTGCCCTCTTTCAGCTCGTTCCGCTGTTTCTTCTGCTGCATCAGCTCTCGCTTCAGCTGCTTCAGCTCTTGCTTCTGATGCTCTGGCCCTCGCTTCTGCGGCTTGTTTCGCTGCACGCGCTGCACCAATTTCTTCGTTTCATCAGTTGATGATTTCTCGCATTTCTTCCAAACCATCTAGTGTTGCATTGAATTGCTCTAACAACCTATTGTGTCGCGCGACAAAATCCTCGTAGTCTCTCCTTGACTGATCATGACGTCTCGTTGGTCTTTCAGGTGATACATTGTTCGCTAATCTATTCACAGTTCCCAAATTCTCGCCTTGGTCACTGCCTCCGTGTCGTCTTTCGAAATTTCTCCGCATACGTTCCATCTCAGCACTGACGGCGTCTCTTAAACCGTGAGGTGAATTCATATCTACGTCGGATAAACTATCATCCGAATTAAATGAATAATGTCTCCGCAGATTTACTCCAAAATCACCAAGTGCATCTGCCATCCGTTGCTGCCTTACTCGTGGTATATTTTCCCCAGACCAATCCCGATCTGTCAAATTCCGCCTTGCTCTGAAGGTAACTTCTTGCAATATTCTCGCAAGTTCCTCTCCGGCTCCTGGCACCACTGAGTCCAGCGAGTTTGATCTACGTAATGGAAAATTATCTCGACTTACGTGTCCAGATCTACCCTCAAAACTCATTTGCCTTTGCCGTTATTTACTATCCACTCCTGCAAGTAGCCCAGGTATCCCCGAGTCACGTTACAATGACCCACCTAAAACGTGCAATATTGCCTACTAATCCCAGTAGCTTGTTCAATGTTTACTCCTCCAAGTAGTTCGTTGAATCCCGCTGTAGCTGGGAAGCATTCCAAACCTAAAGTACAGTAGAGATGGACTGACCTTCCAAAAAGAAAATATAGCTCACTTCACATTAGTTGACCTCATTCCTAACAGCGGAACTGGGAGGCTCTTAGAAGATCTGGGCTACATAGACCGAGAAATTCTACTAAAATCAGAGCCGAAATTGGGTCAAATTCTGGTACAGAAGAAGGGCAAACACAATGTCTTCCTAGTGATCGTCAAACGAACTCAATACGACCGAGTGAAACCGTCAGAATTAAAACTTTGTCTCCACAATTTACACTACGCCCTCGAGGTTCATCAAGTCACATCCCTCTGTATGGCCGAGACCGACAATGAACTCAAAGGCATAGAAAATCTTCACCTATACCTGAAGAAAGAATTCAACGGAAGTGACATCGTCCTCACCTTATGCAGAGGTAACATACAAATGCCCGAACCAGCTCTTCGCCCGGAGATCATAAAAGAAAATCATGATTCACTCATCGCGGGTCACAAAGGAGTGATTAAAACATATCTACAAATAAGGGATCGCTTTTACTGGCCAGGAATGAAGGCGGATATAGAAAATTTCATCAGAAAATGCAAAATTTGCCACCTGGCAAAACTCAGGCCTATCAAAACCAAACAATCGATGCAAGTAACCGATACCCCAACGAGTTACTTCGAGAAAATTTCCATGGACATAGTTGGTCCACTCTCCAGAACGCCGTCTGGAAACATGTATATCCTCACCATTCAGGATAACTTTTCCAAACACTGCACCGCTGCCACCAATTTTTACTTGTTATGTCCGAAGGATTTTTCAGGCGGGAAAATCCTGAGTTTCTAAACTGATTTATCCGTTGAATTCATTCGTTGGACTCTAATGATCAGGATCAGGTATCAAGAACTCCTTGGTTAACAATAAAAATAAAGTGCGATAAAATGTTTCTTATCGCATTTTCCCGAGTGTTAATGAGCAATTTGTTTATTCTGCACTCTTACCTTGTTTTCTTCTTAGTTAATGGGACCGGAAGTTTCAGATTTCTTATTCCGAAGGGATATTTGAAATGATTTAAGCAAATTTCTCGAATGTGTAACACCTTTAATTGTTTGTTTTAACCAGTTAATCCAAGTTTACAATGTCAGGGGAAATTTGAAGTTGGTTCGATTTGATTGATTTTCCGCGAATCACAAAGTTCAAATTTTACAACAATATTTTACTTAGGATTTAGTTACAGGTTTTCTGCTTATTGGAAATGTAATCCCAAATAGATGGAAATGTCGTCGCAGACATTTATTACAATTTCTCTCTTTAAAGTATTTTTCAGTCCACTATGTTCTTTAGTATTTTTAAATTAAGGATCCGAATAGTTTATAAATACACGCACACTTGTACCGTAAGGCGTTTGGAGTTGCGAAAGCCTTATTGGTTCGCACGCGTGATTTTAAAGCCAAAAGAGTGTATCTCTTTTTTCCATGATACTAGAGAATGTGAAAACTCTCGTTAATTTTAATAAGGGATTTTTCGAAATCCCTGATATCAACACCTATGAGGATTACCTAATCGACCTGGTAACCTATTTGGATAACATACAACTGATGACGACGAGAAATTCAATTAAAGCCAAAGAGAAATCAAAAGAATACTACGACCGCGACGCTAAACTGATAGATTTCAAACCGGGAGAATTCGCGTATGTCCTAAAAGAACCTCGGAATAGAAAATTCGATGACCAATAGATCGGACCATTCGAAATCGTAGACCTGACGATCAGAGGCGACATAATACTGGAGACGTTCGAGGGCACAAGGTTCATGAAACACCCAAATAAGCTGAAAAGGTGTGTTGCGATCTCTGGGTTATGGAACGGGCGAAAATCAGTGACAAAAGGTGACCCCAAAGACTGTCCTGACCGTGACTAATTACAACAGGTAGAGACCGGGAGAAAGGATGGGATCGGATTGCATGGGATAAAGCACTAAGGTGCAATGTGGTGGATTGCGCGAGAGTCAAAAATGGAGATCACGCAAAGAGAAAGAACCCCTTCTAATGCCATAAAGAAATGCTTTTATTAGTAATAAAAAGAGGCTGTCCACAATGATCCCAAGATAAAACCACGGAGAGGAGAATTGTGAAGAATTAGAATTGGAAAGGAATAAAAAGAAAAAGAAAAATTTAATAGATAACGAATTAGCATTAACTTACAGTTGTTGATTAGTTGAAAATGGGGTGGGTGTGATCACTCAGTCGCGGTGATGTTGCGCTCCGATGACCCTTACTAGCAGGAAGAAAAGCTGGTTTTAATGACAAGTAGTGTTGATGGGTGACTCTCTGTGATGATCCGCTGAATTACAACGGCAGGTTCACTTGTCCGGTGAAAAGACAGGTCAAACGGAGATTCGACTACCTGAGGCTGCACGAAAGAATGACTCCAGGTGGCCACTTGAACGACGAGACCACAATACGTCGTTGGGGCGGGTATCTAATGCTCCGTGACGAATACTGCCCTCAAGACAGTGGGTTGAGGGATTAGTGGAGATGAGTCCACTAATCGGCTGAGTCCAAAATAGTGCAGTCGAAATATGCAGATTGCGAATAATCACTGTCTGTGATTTGAGTCAGGCCAAGAACTGATTCGGCAATTGACTCCCGGTGACTCGTTCTTAGTAATTGGGGCTTTGTGACCTAGTAACTGCCCTGGTAACTGCCCTAACAACTGACAACTGACTTGGATGTCCGGAGGCAGCCCTTATATATCCTTGATTGACTCCACCCGTAATGAAGGATTCTGTAGGGGTGGGTCCATGGCAACCGGATGTCCTCGGACGATGGCCATATCTGAGTATTCATATCATTTTATGACTTCTGCGTGCACCGGGCTGATCCGTGGTCAAGAGGGTGGAAAAGCGAGGGTGAGCTCAGAGCTCGCGCTCTACGCGTGATTAAAGGAACCGGTCCCCTTTTATGATTCCCGGAATCTCAGTTTGACCCTTCGTAATGATGTCGCACGCCTATCGAGGGGGAGTGATAATGGGGTGGAAATCGTCATAATTTCCGATCCATTGGGTTTTTACGAGCGCACGTGTTCATAGAATGACGTCATGTCCTCTTGGCGTGCGATAAGCTAGAGCATAAACTTGGAGAATTGTGATGCCTTCTTCCAGGTGAATTATCCGGTGTTCATTAGAATTGGCCTAGTCAAAAATGCTGAAAGCATAGAGTGGAAAATCGTGGGTTTACCAATGAGTGGGGAGTTGACTGTCGATTCATTCGTGTCACTCGTGAAGTATCTCAATTCACACCTGGTTGGGTGTATTTCGGGGCACGTGCGAGTCTTGCATTTTCCGGTGATTATTTCCTTACTCATTATAACAACGGTCCACAGAGGCTGGGTCTGGCTATTTGGAAACGCTTGATTATGAGTTTTTCCATTAGGCTGATTTTTATGACCGTGGTCACCCTCAAGTGGTTCCGGAGGGGCGTCTCGAAGTCGGCGTCCCCACATTTAGTGTCACTGAGCCCTCATAATTTACGCATTTTATGGGGTTTTTATGATCGTCGACAGCAAGCCATGGGTGTGATTTTACTTATTGCATGATCGCAGTTTCCATAGACACTGGGTATCTCTATTGGTCAATTGTATCTTTGTATAGCCACGAAATCCACTGTTCCCCTTAGTCACCCCAGCAACAATGGCGGCACCCCTGGTACCCGCGTCGCCTTGGGTGGTAACAATCTCGGTCGTCCTGCACGTTCCATGGTATTTGTTAAAGATGGAGATTTTTATTTATAAACTCCGTAAAGAAAACGCGGAGTCCGCGACAGGTGCCCCAATCAACCAGGACATCTTTCCAGCTCATTCCTAAACAAAAAAAAAATTTTTTCAACTACTTACACTGAGGACTCATAGAAGTTCGACAAAAACTTTCTTTTCTGTCGCTAGGTAATAAATGGACCAATAAGTTGATGCCTTCCCCCACGCGGTCCTAGAAGTCACCAAAGGTGGACGAGCGAACGTCTACGTGGATGGATCTTGCAGCTACAACGGTTGCGCTAACGCTATTGCCGGAATAGGCATCTGGTTTGGTGATAACCACCCCTGGAATACCTCCAAAACACTGAAGGAAGCCAGAGTCACCAACATCATTGCCGAAAACCTAGCCGCAATAGAAGCCATAAAAATCTGCATAGAAAAAGACGTACCAAAACTGAGAATAATAATTAAGGCCGGAGACTTCATGTACGAAACGGCTATTATCAGAAGTTGGCTCCAAATAGGTGATTGAAGTGAGCGACAAGTAGGGTTGGGAAGAAATTGAAACATTGATGTTGTAATTTGCCATAATTCATTGATTGGAGGGTCATTTTGTTGACAGAGTGAGGAAAAGCGTTTGAATGTGAATTGGGTGTTTTGAAGAGGGTCAATGGGAGATCTCGGCAATTTCTTAAGGGTAACTTACCAGGGGAGCTATCGGGTTCTTTCAAAAAGGGATTAATGGAGGCCATGGTCGAGGGGTGATATTGGGGGTCAGTTCCCAGGACAGCCTCCGGGTCTTTTAAGGGAGGGGGGGGGTCAATAGAGGGTATGGACGAGGGGAGATCTCGGGAGGTTTTTGGGGGGTATCTCTATAGTGGAGCTCTCGGGGTATTTCTAAGGGGGAAGGAGAGAGGGGAGGGTGGTTAATGGGGGGTATGGTCAAGGGGAGATCGTGGAGGTTCTTTGGGGATAACGCGGCAGCGCAGTTTTCCGGATCTTTAGAGGGGGCGGGGGTCATTGGAGGGTATGGTCAAGGAGAGATCTTGGGGGTTTCTTGGGGATAACTCCTCAGGGCATCTCTCAGGATCTTTCTAGAAGGAGTGGGGGTAAGTGGTGGGTATGGTAAGGGGAGATATCGAGGTTTTTTGGGGGTCACTCTCCAGGGCAGCTCTCCGGATCATTTCAGGGGGTGGCGAGT